TTGCCCAAGCTAGTCTTGAACTGCTTAGCTCAAGTGATTGTCTCACTTCAGTCTTCCAAGGTGTTGGGATTATAGGTGTAAGCCACCATACCTGAACATCTATTTAAAAAAAAAAAACAAACAGAAATGAGTAGTATATCACTCAGAATAGTTTATTCCATGAATATATACTTATTTAATTAACTCCCACTGTTGGATATGTTTTTCCAATGTCATGATTAAATAGTTCTTGATCATACATTTTGGAGAAATTTCTGGAAATGTACCTCTGGGTCAAAGGGTACACACAGATTTATAGCTTTTGTTTTAATTTCTTTCAGAAAGATAATACCAAGATTTTGGAATAGTACAATGTCTCATTCCCTCTCCAAAGACCAACTCCTATAGGAACCATAAAGAAAAAAAGCCAAGAAATAAGAAAACCTGAAAAATCCCAGGGAAGAAAGGGGGGTGAAAAAGGACAATTTTGAAGGGTAAGTGTGCTAGGCTGGTGGCTGGGGCCTTGGATCTGGGGCAGGTGGCAGCCCTTCAAGGCTTGGGAGTGTAAAACAGGGTATGAGCTATTGGAGTTCTGCTTTTGATTCTTCCCTGACTTGAGTCAAAAACTTACTGTTTCCACATCTACAGGGACTCAGACTATGGTCCAAACACCCTCAGGAGTAAACAGTACTTATAAAAAGCTGAGGAAAACAGGTAGAGACTAACCTTAGGAATTTCTCTGCCCTTTCCTGAAACCATAAAGCTGGTAAATTACAATCAATAGCTCTGGATGCTGTTCTCCCTGACAGGATCAGGGAGGAGGGGAGAGACGGTAAAGCAGAGATCTGAGGTGTCACTTTGCAGACTTCATAAATTAACTGTGATTTCTTATGTAGCCTGGGGCTTTTCTATCTACCTTCCATCCTCTGAACTCACTGAAAATGACACAGACTGGGTGCTAGTCTCTTCCCATGTGTGATGTCATAGTAGCTAATATTCCCAAAGGAAAATTATCTTACAGGTCAACATATCAAGACATTGAAGAAGCACAACTGTTTTCAAAGAAATATAAACTATTGGCATACGGATTCTAAGAGAAGCAGAAATATTAGATCTAATGGCCCAAGAACTTAAAATAAGCCTAGTAAACAAACTAAAAGAAGTAAGAGAAGATATCAGCAGCATATAATAAGAACAAGAGAACAAAGAAGCAATCAGAAATATTACGTACAAAAAATAATACTTAAAGTATATAGACTAGATAAATAATAGAATTTAAGTGAGGAGTAAATGAATCTGAAGATCAGTTTGAGGAAATCTTCAAACCTAAGAACAAGGAAATAGAAAATATAGGCTGAGCGCAGTGGCTCACACCTGTAATCACAGCACTTTGGGAGACAGAGACCTCCTGATCACAACGTCAGGAGTTTGAGACCAGCCAGGCCAAGATGGTGAAACCCAGTCTCTATAAAAATACAAAAAAATAGCTGGGCATGGTGGTGGGCACTTATAATCCCAGCTAATCAGGAGGCTGAGGCGGGAGAATTGCTTGGACCCGGAAGGTGGAGGTTGCAGTGAGTCAAGGTTGCGCCACTGCAGTCTAGCATGGGTGACAGAGCAAGACTCTGTCTCAAAGAAAAAAAAAAAAAGAAAAAGAAACATAAAAGAAAGGCTAAGGGATTGGCAGTGCTAACATCTGAATAACAGGAGACTCAGAAAGAAACTAGGCTGGGTGTGGTGGCTGACACCTATAATCTCAGCACTGTGGGAAGCCAAGGTGGGCAGATCCCTTGAGGCCAGAAGTTCAAGACCAGCCTGGCTAACATGGCAAAACCCCATCTCTTTTTTTTTTTTTTTTTTTTTTTGAGACGGAGTTTCGCTCTTGTTACCCAGGCTGGAGTGCAATGGCGTGATCTCAGCTCACCGCAACCTCCGCCTCCTGGGCTCAGGCAATTCTCCTGCCTCAGCCTCCTGAGTAGCTGGGATTACAGGCACGAGCCACCATGCCCAGCTAATTTTTTGTATTTTTAGTAGAGACGGGGTTTCACCATGTTGACCAGGATGGTCTCGATCTCTCGACCTCGTGATCCACCCGCCTCGGCCTCCCAAAGTGCTAGGATTACAGGCTTGAGCCACCACGCCCGGCCGGCAAAACCCCATCTCTACCAAAAATACAAAAATTAGCCGGCAGGTGGTGGGGGGTTGCTAGTGGGCCTATGCCTGCAGTCTCAGCTACTCAGGAGGCTGGGGTGGGAGGATCACTGGGGCCCAGGAGGAGGAGGTTGAGCTGAGATTGTGCCACTGCCCTCCAGGCCAGGTGACAGAGTCAGACTCTGTCTGAAAAAACAACAACAACAACAAAAAAAAAAAAAAAAAGAAAAAGAAAAAGAAAAATATTAAGAAGGAGGTATTTGAAGGAATGATGGAGTTGAACAGGAAAAAAGATCATGGATTTTATTTTTTTAAATTTATTTAAAAATTTTTTTACAATGGTGACTAGGGAAGATCATGGACTTTCAAAGTATTGAAGGAAAAATCTTAAAATCTAGGTTTTTACATATGGCAATGCAGTCATTCAAATATGAGGCTATGACGACATATATTTCCAAGCATACAAAAACTCCAAAGACAGTTTTTGATAAAATGCTTAAATAGAAACAAATACGGAAGATAATTAAAAGATGTGTGAAGCCATGCTGATAAAATATCTTGGCAAAATTTGTTGTTTTTTAAAATAGCAAACAGCTAAGAAAAGGAGAACATATGGGCATAATGGTTTAAGATTTAAAGTAGATAGTAGCAAAATGATGGGGTAGGAGAAGACGAAGAGACAAAGGGATCTCAGAATGTACAAGATTCTTTGTAGGGGAGACATATAAATATCCAGTTTGTTTCTTTTTAGTAAGAAAAAATTCAAAATAAATTCAGAAAACGTGGAAAAACTTAAATATTGAAAATGGTGGAAACACACTGTAATGTATAAAAAATTATAATTGTAATATGTCAGGGTGAGGAGAGGTCAGAGGTAAAACAAATTATACCTTAAGATGATAACTGTTGAAGCTGACATATAGACACATGGTGGTTCATAATTTTCTTCCTTTTCACTTATTTGAAATTTCTCATATAAAAATTTTAAAATGTATGCATACAAAACAATACTCATATTATAAAAAGATAAACAAAATAGGACCGTACAATAGATATTATTCGAGAGTATCGTGTTAGAATGATTTCCTATGGGTCAAGGGTGGGAGAATGAGACTGGAAAATTTATAAATAAATAAAACAAAAAGTGTTTTGCATGAACCAGTAAGGACAATGCCCCATGAACCTAAGAGTGTGATTAACTCTGCTTTCTCTTTGTGTAAAAGGTCCATTAAAAAAACAAAAAAGATGTGAGGTGGCATATGCCTGGAATCCCGGCACTTTGGGAGGCTGAGGTGGCTTAAGCCTAAGAGGTCGATGCTGCAGTTAGCCATGACTGTGCCACTGTATTCCAGCCTAGGCGACAAAATAAGACCCTGTCTCAAAAAAAAAAAAAAAAAAAAAAAAAAAAAAAACCAACAACAACAATAACAACAAAAACCAGAAAGTGCCAGGCATGGTTAATGCACACCTGTAGTCCTAGCTGCTTGATAGGCTGAGGTGGGAGGACTGTTCAAGCCTGGGAGCTCAAATCTGTTTTGGGCAACTTAAAGAGACCAAATCTCTTAAAATAAAAGGAATATATGTGTGTGTATATGTGTGTGTGTGTGTGTGTGTGTGTGTGTGTGTGTGTGTGTGTATGTGTGTGTGTGTGTATGTGTATAATATATTACATATAAATTTTCACTATAAGGATTTGATTTAGACTGTGGAGAAGACAAAACTATAAAAATAGTTATCTAATCATTATAATTCAGAAAACACTTGAATAGCTACTCCAAATAACCAAGTCACCATATATAACTACAAAAATGAATTAGAAATAAGTATTATCACTTAGTTTTTCAAGAGAAGTCATTTCTGACATTAATATTAATCATAGAAAACTAGCAAAAATCATTAAGCAGCTAACCAAAAATTAAGGAGAAAAAAAATGACTCTAAATACTGGCATTCTAAAAGCATAAAGAAAAATTGAACAAAGAAGAAAACACTCCTGCACCAGAGGCTGTAAACTGTTTTACTTGGCTTATGTAGTAGCAAAAGTAGACTTTTTTCCAAAGGAAAAATTTTATGCTGATATTGAAAAATAAGGATTTTTTTCAAATCTATTTCTGTTTTATTAAAAAAAAACTACTAAGAATTGATTTTACAGCATCTTATCCCCATTTAGCAAGGATCCTAGAACTGAACAGGTGCACCCAGTTTATAGGTCACATACTCTCCAGGCTTCCATTGGCCCCATTTGGCAAGCAGCATTAAAGTACTGCTTTTGGAGGTTTGTTCCCCCTTGTATTTCACTTGAAATTTTAACAAAATGTGGTCAGAAATTTGTCATGTAAGTATGTAAGCACTCACGGGAGACATAAACAGAACAGAACATGTGAAAAAATAAGCTAGGTAAAGAGAAATTTTGGGGGAGCCATGACAAAATGAAAAGGGGTTTGGTATTTCAGGGGTAATAATGTTATTAGTATATGAAACTAAGAGAGTTTTTTGGAGTGGATAAAGAACAAGCTCTTAACTTGTTAAAGGGATTGATTCATAAATACATGAAAACAGTACAGTGGATGATAGTTTTTTCTTTAATTATTTTTTAGAAGTTACTTTGTTTATACTTTATTCTTAGTTGGTTTGTACTTGTGCATTATAATTTATCATTTTTTAAATCAACCACTTATTACAAATGAAATCTGACACTTTCTATCAAGATGATATTATGGCATAAAAACTTGTGTCTGAATATTAATGAATGCAGTTGTAACTTAGACAGGGCCAATGATAAAAACTTAACAAGTTTAACAAGTAGAATTATAATCTGACAATCCTAACCATGTAAATAAAATTATATACAAGGCTACAGTTATTAATTACCTTTAGTGCTTAACTTCTAAAGATCTTGTCTGTAAACCATAAAGCCTTCAATGTCTACTTCCCCCATGTAGAAACTGACATCTTCAATGTACATCTAAAACAGAAGCATAAGAAAATACAATGAATTTGAGATTATAGATATTGCTTCACTTATTGTAAATATAAAAAAATTGAAATTATTCTTCATGACTTTCTGTAATAAGCTGGGCAAAAAGATGTGGGTATTATAGGACATATTTTATTTAAACAAAAAACAATAACATTAAAATTTCCCCTTTAGAAGAATCAGAAAGTTTTTTGGAACACATATTATGATCCATGTCACAGAGTTGAGTACTTTCTATAACACTAATTTTATCTGCAAAATTTTTATATGATCTAAAATACATGAGTTCTGATGTCCTACATGAAAAGAGCCCCATTATAGAAAAGTTTCCCTTTTGGGGAAACTTTTGGATTTTTGGCTTTTTTTTTTTTTTTTTTTTTGAGACAAAGTCTCACTCTGTCACCAGGTGCCAGGCTGGAGTGCAGTGGCGTGATCTTGGCTCACTGCAAACCTCCACCTCCCGGGTTCAAGCAATTCTACTGCCTCAGTCTCTTGAGTAGCTGGGACTACAGGCGCATGCCACCATGCCCAGCTAAATTTTGTATTTTTAGTAGAGACAGGGTTTCAACATGTTGGCCAGGATGGTCTCGATCTATTTACCTCGTGATCCACTTGTCTCAGCCTCCCAAAGTGCTGTGATTACAGGTGTGTGCCACTGCACCCAGTCAGCTTTTTGGCTTTTATAAGCAACTCAAGTGTGATTAAGAATGTATTTATTATTCTTAATTACACTTGAGTTGCTTATAAAAGCGAAAAACATACAAATTAATTAGTTCAGTGTTCTGTCCTTACGAAAAATTCAAAATTCCTTTCTTCTTAGTACTTAAACTTCCCCAATCAGTACTTTACACTAGGCTGGTAAACTCAGGGAAAAAAAAAAAAAAGGTCCTTTAAGAAAAATTATTCCCTCTCTAACAGACAAATGAGATATCCAGAGAAAATGTTTTTTGCCTAAAGAACTTTGACTGTGAATTCCTTGACAACGCAGTTAGGGAAACAGGATTTGGATGCTACATTGCCTTTCTTTTAGTATGCAGTTTTTGGTTTTGCTTTGTTTTGAGAAAGGGTCTCCCTATGTTGCTCAGGCTGGTCTTGAGCCTGAGCTATCTCATCCTCCCAGGTAAGTGATTTTGAGTACTACAGATTCTCAAGCCAAACATAAATGATTTTTGGATTGGCAGTATCATTGCTCCTTTTGGTCATTAGCGTAGATGTCTGTTTTACAGTTGCAGCTATACATGCAAAACTCTTGAAACACTTTTAAAATACATTCACACTCAGCATATTCTTTACATATTATGGTTTAATTAGTATGAAGTTGGACCAGGGCTCAGGTATTTTTAAAAAGGATGAAGGAATGATCTTTTTCTCCAGTTGAGAAACAATTTCACTGCAACTATTTAGCTTAGTTTCTACATATTAATAAGACATTAACTTCCAAAAATACTATTTACAGATGTTTATGAAAAATACTGAGTTAATTCTAATATGAATACTAAATGTCAAAATGATTTCAAAGCTTCCAGGATACACACAGACAAAGCTTCAATTACCATGAAATATCTTAGATACATGGATCCAAGCATGATGCAATTGGTAGCTGGAGTAAATCTCAAACTGTAATGCACTTAAGGACCAAAGCAGTACTTTAAAATATAGAACCCCAGGTGCATGCCCAAAGTTCTGGTTCAGAACTTGGCTGAGGCAGATTCTCTATTCTTTATAGGCATCGTGATTATAATGTACATCTACAGTCCATGTAGAATTGTGATCTAAAGCACACATACAAACCCTGACTAGTACTAGACTCTCATTATTAGCATTTATGTAAATACTTCTTGAGTTTTATAAGATTATATTTCTAATCTTTAAAGATAATCCCAAAACCCACTGGCTTAGGAAGGAACTTTGAACACACAGTAAGTAGGACTTCAGCAATAAATCAATATAGACATACTAAAATAATGTTTATGGATTATATCTCTTGTAAGCTTTGCTATTTTCTTGGGTAAACTGTGTAGGTAGACAATCAATAAAATACTGTGGCAAAAAAGAGAGAAATGTTATCTTCTATAATGAAAATTCTACTTAAAACCTCACATATAACTAGAAACATGCTCTTTATAGTTCAGAATTAATTTTTTTGGTCCTTAAGTTAGTGGGGGTGGCAGGCTGGAGAGAAGCACTTCCAGCTTCATTTTCTGTTTAAACGTGAAGTCAAAAATTTTGTAAAGTCTTGAACCATGTCCCTCAAATACACACACACACACACACACACACACACACACACACACACACACACACTCCTCTCTTTCTCTCACGTAACTACTAAAAATAATATGAAATAGGCTGTTAATGTTTTAGTTTTGAAAATTCTTGCCAGGACCCGTGGCTCACGCCTGTAATCCCAGCACTTTGGGAGAACCGGGCGGGCAGATTGCCTGAGGTCAGGAGTTTGAGATCAGCCTGGTCAACATGGTGAAATCTCATCTCTACTAAAAATACAAAAATTAGCTGAGGGTAGTGGTGTACACCTGCAATCCCAGTGACTCAGGAGGCCGAGACAGGAGAATCACTTGAAAACCCATGAGCTGGAGGTTGCGATGAGCTGAGATCATACCACTGCAATCCAGCCTGAGCAACAGAGCAAAACTCTGTCTAAAAAAAAAAAAAAGAAAAAAAAGAAAAGCCGGTGACTCAAGCCTGTAATCCCAACACTTTGGGAAGCTGAGGTGGGCAGATTGCCTGAGGTTGGGAGTTTGAGACCAGCCTAACCAACATGGAGAAACCCCATCTCTACTGAAAATACAAAATTAGCTGGGTGTGGTAGCACATGCTTGTAATCCCAGCAACTCAGGAGGCTGAGGCAGGAGAATTGCTTAAACCTGGGAGGCATTGCACTCCAGCCTGGGCAACAAGAGCAAAATAACTTCTCAAAAAAAAGAAAGAAAATTCTTATAAATGAGTCCCAAATTACTTTGCAATAGAAACAGTTTCATACATATATACCATTTAAGATTTTTTTTCTGAAAAAGAAAACTCTAATAAACAGAGGTAATTATCTGAGTCTTTGTTACACATAACAAAGGATGGAGACCTAAAAAAGTACTAAACCAGATAAGAAAACTATACTTTAGCTCTTATCTTCCTTACCTAGTTTAAAGTACTCTTCATAAAGTATTCTTTTTACATGTATGTAATGCTAAATATCTCAGATTTTCTACAAATTCAAATCAATCAACAGTTTATCACTGAAGTTTAGTTCTTCCTACATATTTTAACCAGAATCAATAGCTCTGTAAATCACAAACAGTAGTCTACATCACAAAAGAATTCATTCATATTAATCTTTAATGATTAAAAATACAAGTTTCTAGATAACTGACATTGTTAAGTATCACTAACATTTGTCATATAAATTACTAAAACTTATTTGCTTTTAAATGCAGTAAATAATAGCTAATATTTACTGAATTCTAAATTATAAGTAGCATAGTTTATTCTCACAACAACCCTAAGAAGTGCTTATGTTCTCAAAAAGTAGAAAAAAAGAGAAGTGCTATTATCATCTACATTTTACAAATAAAATGAGGAATATAGATCAAATAACTTATTCAAGTTCCATAGCTAATAACTGGCAGAACTAGCTTTCGAACCCCAGCAATCTACAATTAACTGGTATTTCCTGAAGGCTCCATCCAGTAACCTAAAAGCCTACATCCAATAACTCTAGAAGTCTCAGAAATTAATAGGAAGGTAGCTTTTGTTAGGTGTCCCATCTGCAAACAGAATGCCATGGTGCTCCACTTCCAACTTTTCTTCTTCCTCATGAAAAAGATGATTTCTAAGCTCCACTTAGCTTTACATACATTTAATTATTCCTGTGCATTCTAAATAATAAGGTCTCTATGATACAAAGAGTTTTCTTAAAACCATGTTCTTGCTTCTAAGTGTAATATTTTATGTGCCTAATCACATTGAGATCCATTAAGTATGGTTCAATACTGAAATATAAATTTGTGGTTTTAAAACATTTCCAATTCTCTTACAAAAAATTATACCTTCTTAAAATATGACTGCAATCTCAATTTTGTATTGTATTTTCACAATAATAACTATATACACTCATAAAATACAAAGTGAAGTTATGATTTATGGATACAATGCAAAATAGCTAAATAAAGCCAGTAAACATGTCCACTTCAAATACTTAACATTCTTTGTGGTGAGAATATTAGAAATTTACTCTCTTAGCAATTTTGAGTTGTACCATACTCTATCTTTTCTTTATCCATTCATCATCTTAGTTTGATTCTGTAACTTGGCTATTGTGAATATATCTGCAGAGAACATGGGAGTGCAGACATCTCTTAAACAAACTATTTTAAAATGTTTTGGGTGAATATCCAGAAATGGAATTGCTGGATCATAAGATAATTCTATTTTTAGTATTTTGAGGAAGCTTCACACAGTTTTCCATGTGTGTACTAATTTACATTTCCACCAACAGAGTACAAAGGTTTCATTTTCTTTACATTGTCATCAACATTTTTTGTTGTTGTTGTTGTTGCTAATGGTCATTCTGAGAGGTGTGAAATTATATCTCATTGCAGATTTAATTTGTATTTCCTGAATGACTAGCAATGTTGAGACTTTTTTCATATATCACTAGGACTTTTGTGTGTCTTTTTTTGAGACGTGTATTCAGGTCCCTTTCCCATTTTTAATGTTTTTTTTTTTCTTTAATTTTCTTGTTACTGAGTTGTTTGGGCTTATTACATGTTTTGGATATTAACCCTTATTCAATGGATGATTTGAAAACCTTTTCTCTCAATCTGTAGGCTGTCTCTGCACATTGTTTCCTTTGCTATACAGAAGCTTTTTTGTTTGCTATAATCCTCTTTATCTGTTTTTGTTTTTGTTACCTGCACTTTTGGGGTCAAATCCAAAAAATCAATGCCCAGATCAATTTTGCATAGTTTACCCCC